GAATACTTACGGTATTATATAACATGTTTTCTAGGCGTTGGTAAGGCAAGGATGTAATCTAGACGGCACACTATTTATATACATTGCTGTAACATTGTTTTAATTGTATTAAGTTAATGTAGAACTCAACATAATTAGGCTTTGTTGTATTAAATTATTTTTTACAAAGCATGTCTCGAATAATTACTTTCTTTTATATGGGGTTTGGTTTGGGTTTTATTAATTGGAATGAACTTATGACTAACACTGTACCTTGGATTTTATAATCATTTCGTTTCAGAAAAAGACGAAGAAGATAGTGATATTGAGAACACATCAGCGCCGGAAACTTCACAACAGGTAGAATGTGTGTAGCATGTAATAGAGTAACTTATACATCCACATAATAGTGGCGAAAACATAGAACGAGCAATGTCGAAAGCGATAGTTCTTTCATTCAAAACAACGATAACGTAATATTGTTTACAAACACTTTAGTATATTTGATTTCTGGTTAATTATTTTATTCTACATTACATTGTCCTGAAACAAACAATGACAAAAAATACACACAAGGTAAAAACGGTGGTCACGTGGTCACGTTTCAAATAAACATCCATAAATTTAGAATCCTGGGCAGTCAACAGTTTCACCGTTTCAAATGACTACTACAATTCGAGATGAATGCTCATTATATAAAGATATTGTTTATCTTGTAAGTGGTTGCAACATTATTATTCCAGAACAAACCGCAATATCTAGCTATTATTCGTTATCCACAAGTTTAAACTAATTTCAATAGACCTTCCACATAAAAAGCCACACGGCCTTCATTTAACGCTTAAATAGTGTACGGTTGTCTTCAGTCATCACGTCTACTATCTCACTAATCGATGTAACATTTGGAATTGATACATTGATAACATAATATACTTGTTAATTAAATGTCTGACATACTGTTACGTTCCAGTCTGTCGGTGAAAGCAGTAAACGGACAAAAGGCAGATTACGATTGTGGAATAAAAAGAAGAAAAAACGAAAGAAGCAAAATAGTATGGAATAATTTTCGGTGTTTTTTCTGAACTAATCACTAATGTTGATGCAACAATATATGCATTAGCCATAATTAATATTTATTTTTATTTCAGAAGATGGTGAAAATTCAACAGCTCATGCTACCGGAGTAAGTAACACTGATACGTCACATGCTGCCCAGGATTTGAATGAACCCAGTCAGGTACATTATGATAATACTTTCGCTCAGTATTATTTTAGTCTAGTCAATATTAGTTAGTATAGTTTGTGACCAATTTATAAATAATGAGAGTCATTGACTTATAATTAACCACATACATTTAGCTGATTAACCATATTCTCAAAGCAAAACATTTGTCAATGTAAAGTGTGCTATCTCCCTTTGAAAATGAGATTCATAATATTTTAATAATAACATAAGGGAAAAATTGAGTGAACGTATTCAAACAATTCTTATCTCGACACTATGGGAAAGCATGTCCATTGTAAGCACCACTTCATAATTGAGGGGTAATTGAGCAGTCTATTAGCAGGACTTCCAGTAAAGCGTTTGATGCTATATTTCTATGTGTGGTTACTGGAATAAGGTTTGTACCAAACACTTTTGATGAATGGTAGATGAACGTGTGCACTTGGTAGTAAACTATGAAGCTATGAATCTTGATTGCTGCGGAGTTTAAATACTAGAAGAGCTAGTTTGAAGTGATGTGCGGATTCTCATAGTTCGTCTGTTGCTGTTTTCTCACACCTGATTTATGATCAAAAATAGTTTATTGCAAGAGTTTTCAGTTTTAACATCGATTTTGAACCTTTTTTGAACATGAACTTTACTTTTACAGCACTTTAATGTTCTGTTGTTCACAAAGAAATCCTTGGATTCCATATGTTAATTACACCCAATCACTAAATATGCAACACAGCAGCAATCACTATCCGGCCTATTTCAAAATTGTTTAGTAAGATAAACTAGCTAACAAATCATACATCAATCTCAGAACTTTCGAGCAGTATTTTAATAAGACAACTGTTAACAAACGTATCGCCTTGGACAAACAACAAATACGTGACGTCAACCCACACTCCAGTCCTTCTTGGCCCGATTCAAACATCACTTTTTTTTAAATGTGTTGTTGACGCATTTGGGAACTTTATTAGCAAAACGTTCAATTCCTGATAATCAAATTGAATTCTCCTTCTTTCATACCAATGCATCTTCAGCAATTCAATACTATACAGACTTTTATAATAGTCCCAAATCTTCTAAACTGACTAGAGGAAAGGTATACTGCTGCACTTTGAAGAAATACGCGTGTATCTCATAAGTGATGGGTACCTTATATATTTTAAATCAATTTATAGTAGCTATTTTAAAACAATATGTGTTTTTGTTTATAGTTATTTGCTGAAATGAAGACCACTGAAGATGACTATGAAGACAGGTTAGAACAGGCACAGACAGACGTAGCTGAATTGTTATTAAATACAAAACAGATTGCCAAGAAATTAGAGAAATGGTCTTAACTAACAGAACAAAATATTACATCATGCTTTGTTTTCTTGTTATCACCAAATACACACAATTTTTGATACTTTTCATAGATTTTGGCGATGTTTTAATTCACTGTGATTGGATTAAATTACAATAACCACATCATTTACATTTATTATTAGTACATTTTTATACATATTCAAGTGTAATACCAGTTTGTATATGTCATCCGTTTTTTCTACTTTTACTATTACGATGTGTTTGTGTTCACGTGACGGTAAGCCAGCGTCATTCATAATTCAGGTGTTCTGTAGTGCAAAGTTAAGAACGTGACAATATTTTCATAAACTTCATTGTACATTTTGAAATTATAATTATTCATATTCATACATAATCTTTCATCGTCATTGAAGAATTTAATTGCCTTTCACGAATAACAAACATGACAAACTATTATGTGCTGATACTTATCTCTATCGAAAATATTAAACATATTTAGACAAATGTACAATTCAAATCAGTTCAATTTATGTATGTATGTATGTATTTGTGTATGTTTCCTCAGGACGTGCCTACATCGAGCTCCGCAAAAACTGCTATTTTTTACCTTGGTTCAAGATAAGTGCTCACTAGTTTTGATTTAATATCCTTTGTAAATAGTTTATAGTACTACTTGGTGTCTTCTTGGCCGTTTTTGGCATAAATCTGCCGTGTTTCTGTTGGTTTTTAGTTTTTGTGTTTTGTGTCACTCTCCAGGGGCTT